AGGCTTAATTTTTTAAGTGTGTGCACCTTACACATGCATGGAAGTTGTGTTCTCAGAACAGGAAGTCATTTTCTCAGACCCAGGAAGTCTGACTTATCATTATCATTGCCCAATCTTCTCTCTCTCACACACACACAGTCTCTCACACTCACAACATCAAACACTACTGAAGCCCACCACCAGAGACTTGAAAGCTAAGAGGGGTTTGTTGTTTGCCTAAGAATACAAATGAAAAATGTCATAGCCCTACAATAAGCCCAATGGTTCAAAACATACCAGAGTATCTGCAGACTGAGAAATATCAGGGTGTGCACTGCAGGAGGCCTTAGTGTTTATGCACAACCTTGTGAAGTAGGTTAGTCGCAGAAAGAATGACTTGTTTGGGATATCTAGAGGAATAAGATGGGATTAGACACTCTAACCACTACCGCCCAGGTTGAAATAGAGATTTGGAAGAAACATTTATGCCTCTTAGCTGCCCAGTTAGTGAAAGTAATTCTTTGATGGTCACTCAACAATTCAATTATCCTTCCCACTCTTTCAAGGCAAGATATGCACTGCCTTTCAGTACACAAGGGCCTGCACAGCTGCATTGTGCTCCAGCAGCAACTAAGTCCATATACGAACCATTGTAACAATGCATCTGATTCCCTAGATGAGAATCATGCCGACACATCTACCCCAAGAGATTCATGAAATACTCTCTCTTACCGGAGTTGTGAGCTGTTCTGAAGCTCTGCATTTTTTTATTTTACCAAATCTTGTGAGATTTCTTTGGCAGACATGAAATCATAGCATAAGAATTTATTCTCACTTTCCTGCTCTAAACATCCAGGCCTGAGGATTTATTGCAAAGTTGTAAAGCTCCTTACAGGAGTTGGTTCAATAAAAGAGACACAATTTCATCTGTTCGATGCGGCCAATCCCCAATGTTAGCTGAATTTCCTCTCCCACCCCCATGCCCCAGCATTACAGTATAATTAAGGGGTGGGTAAATTGTTAAGCACAGAGAGTGAAATGTGTGTTGGGAGGGGCTACTCTGCTAATTTGCATGTTTTAATTACATGTAATTAACTTAATATGCATATAATTTTCAGGACTGTGGTGGGTGCCAAGCCACAGCTGGTTATCGCTTTATGCTTACTCTTAAACTGTGAAACCCAGTGATAAAAAAAACCCTTTTTATTCTTTGTAGCGAAAAGCAAGGCTTTCAAAAATAATGAGCCTTCAAAAATGTAATCGTTGTGGATTTTGACTTATCTACTTATCTCTACCAAACTGTTGCTTCATCATCTAAGTTGGATGGTGCCTGGGAAAAGGGCTTTCTTGGTTGAGGGTGATATGTACTTGTGGAATTTACTCTCTAGGGAGGCTTTCTAAATTGTTGTGTTTTGTTCCAGGCAAAGACCTTTTTCTTTATTACTCTGTCAGGTTTTTAAAGATCAAAACTGTTTTAACTTCTCATAACTACGGGGACAGACTGTGCCTGTTTGGAAGCCCAAAACCTTTCACCCCAAGCATACAGCAACACAAGGAAGCTTCTGAACCAGGTATTCCATTTGCATTTTGGCAGGTGGAAGATTCTGAGATCTGTGAGGAGAAACCCAAAGTTCAGCCTGAAATACCATTTGGACAATACAGTGGTACCTCTGGTTGTGAACGGGATCCATTCCGGAGGCCCATTCACAACATGAAAAGCCCGCAACCTGAAGTGCTGTATCTGTGCATGTGTGAAGCATGATTTAGTGCTTCTGCGCATGCACGAGCGGCGAAACCCAGAAGTAACCCTTTCCAGTACTTCCGGGGCGCTGCGGGACGCAACCTGAAAAAACGTATCATGAAGCAAACGTAACTGTAGTCTTTTACTGGTCTGTTACACAGCTGCTGAAAAAAGTTCTTGGTGAGGAATGGGAAGATGAGGCTTAATCTATCGCAGGCCCTGCTGACACTCACTCTAGGGTAGGTTTTCAACCTTTTTGAGTCCACAGCTCCCTTAACCAACTACATTCTTTCTGTGGGGCTCAGGAGCCCAGTTTTGTCACCCCTGCCTGCAGAGCTGGCAGTCTCTCACCCTTTTTCAAACACCCTCCCTTGTGGAGGCCTCCTCTCCTCCCCCCTCTCCTTGGGAGTCCCTGGTCTCCGAGCAGCCCCCCACCCCACCCCAAAGAGAGGTGTTTCCCAGAGGCAGCATTCACCTGTACAGCTTATAGCCAGGGCTGCTGCAATAAACAGCTGCACAAGCCTTTGGGAGACAGAGACACAAGACAGCATCAGAGGAGGGAGGGAGAGAAAGAGGGCCAGTGGCCAATGTGGCCTGTGACAACCCTGACCATCATTCAAGGCACCCCAGGTTGCCACAGCACACTGGTTGAAAACCACTGCTCTAGGGAGATGGTGGAGCAGCAGGGGCTGTAACAAAGTGGCTCAGTTGGGCCTTCCAATTGCTTGTGCAACATCTCATCCTGCCCTGTTCTCAGCAGATTCTTAGCTGGACAGCTCCTCTGTTGCTTCAACCGCCTTAGTCTCTGACCTACTGAGCAGCTCCTTGGCCTTGCTGGTAAAACGAGCAACTGAACCACTTGGCAAAAGTGATAGAAACAGAACACTTGTCTTAACGTTGTGCATGCGCTATACCTTTAAAGGACATATGAAGCACTGTTAAGTTGTGGGTGAACATACCAGACGACACAGCGATTCTTCAAACAGCTCTTGTTTATTCACAGGCCAGGACAGAACTGAACTGAAGGGCTCAGTCAGCCTGCTTATATAGAGCTCCAGTACCACGTTACTGTAACAACTTTCTAAAACTATCCAATCACTGAACGTCACTTTCGATCCTTCATTTGCATAACTATCTACAGTATCCCCCTGCTGGCCCAGGGTGAGAACTTCAGTACATAACAAGCACATTTGTTCCCTCAAATCATTCTGGGCACTGTAGTTGGTTACTGGTTGCTGGGAATTTTGAGGGCTTGGAAAGAATGCAATTCAAATGTTCTTTAAAGGTGCAGCGCATACACAGCCTTAGATTCTCTCATATGGCCTCTATATCCTCACCTTCCACTTCTGTGCATCTTCTGCTGTGATGCCTCTTCCCTATGCTTAAAAAAATAAATAAAACCTCTGAAATTCTCCAGTGAGTTTTGTTTTTTGAAAGGAACACAGACAAGAAAACTACCACTTTTTGATCAACCTGGCATAGTTTTATGACATAAGCAACATTAACAGAACATGGTTATAGGCCTCCGAGGACGCATGACAACTTGTGGAGAGGTACCTTTGTTTAAAGCTGAAATGATTTAAAAGTTAAATGTAATTAAATAGACATTTTGTGCTGCTGCTGCTGCTGCTGGGTGTGGGTGGGATTTCTGAATGTTGATTGTTGCTCCTTGTATAAATAAGTGAAAGCAATGAAATATTTGGGGTGGGGGAGTACTGATGAAGCCACAAAAATGGAAGTGGGGTTGAGAATTACTTAGTTAATTGCATTCATATCCTGCATTTTCTCCAGGGAGGTAAAGGTGGTATGTGAGGTTCTCCCCCCGCCTCATTTAATTGAATAATTAGCTGGTTCTAATTGCAAAACATTGGGTTCTTAGGTCACTGGATCTAGATTACAGGAGTGTGAACACACAGACTGCTATGACAGGGCACAGTGGGCTCAGAAACTTTAAGTTCACAGAAAGTTGGTTACTGCCAAGTGCTTGCAAAGCTGAATCAAGTTATGGAACAACATATCATTTGACGGCTTTGAGCAGTTATTTCAGAACTTTCCGCGTTATTGACAAAACAGCAGGATCGAGTCGGAATTTACTGGCACTGGCATGATGGCAAGAGACACACAGAGCTAGCTATTACAGTGCATGCACACACATACACACAAAATCGATTTCTAACACCCTCTCAGGAGAGCAATTTTACAAACCCTGATACCCACTGACAGTCATGCATTAACTCTCTCTAATGTCCTTAGGGGCCTCTGTGCACCTTCTCAGAGACATCCAGTCGCTGAGTTGTATCCAATGCTCATCCTCCTCGGAGCAGACCTATTGACATTAATAGACGGGGCTAACTTAGGTCTATTAATTTCAATAGGGACCACTCTAAGTTATTTGGAGATAATCCACTGAAAACAGAGGCAAAGCTCCGCTATTCATGGATTTGCTGGTTGCATGAAATACCGGGGGGGGGGGGAGTAAAGGAGGCTTGATCCCCTTTGCCTTTTGATGTGGTTCCTTTAGCTACTATTTAAAAATCAGGCTACGGGGAGGATCACAATTTAGCTAAAATGAGATTAAGTCACCAATCAGGGTGTGTGCATTTAATTACACATTAAATGGATGTTGCATCCTGCCTTTCCTTAAAAACAAAAAAATCAAAGACAATGAAATTCCGTTTAACACTGAGTGGAAGCTGAGACAAAACCCCATTCAAATAAAAGCTTTTTCCACAAAACAGTAGAAGGAAAAGCACTTTAGCCAATTGAAAATCAGGTGGGAGAATAGGGGCTCCCCTACCTCTTTCCCCCATAACTCAGAAATTGATCTACTGTTCTGTGGTTTCCACTGTTGCATATTTTAAGTGGGCAAGCTGCTCTCCTGTCCTTATTTATCCTACATCTCTATGACGGACAAGCAGAATATAAAATCAATTTTTATCTGCATGTAAAAATCTCTTCCATACTTCACTTTGAATATTATTGTCATTATTAATCACATGTATTGCAGCTTTAAGGCACTATTTATTTATATATAAAGCTTCTTCTTAACTTCTGTGTACAATATCCAAAGTGGCGTACCATAAAACCAAGAATTAAAATGACTTAGGGCAGCATTCAGCAGCAGCAGCAGTAAAACTCCCATTTAAAATCTTGCATGACTCACTCATGAAGATGTACTATCTTAAAAGCCTGCTTCAGCTAGTTCAGTGTTGTCTACAGTGACTGACAGTGGCTCTCCATGGTTTCCAATTGGTGGGGAGGTGTCTCTCCTAGCCCTACCAGGATATGCCCAGGAATTGAATCTGGGACCTTCTGCTTGTAAGACAGATGCTCTACCACTGAGCAAACGGCCCTTTCTCCTTGGAGCAGTGGGCGTTTTTTAATTGCCTGGATTCCAACTCCACCCAGTCCTCCTAAAATCCTTTCTTCACCCCCCGTCTGATTCACGTCACCAGTCTGTGACACCTTTTAAGTAATGCCAGCAGCTCCTTGTAGCAGGACCAAGTTCCCCAGAAAAGATGTCATGATTGCCACCATGTGCCAAATGTTTTTGGGGGGTGGGGTGGAATCAGAAGAGTTGATTGTCAGAAGAACAGTCCTGCCAAAGGAAGATAATGAATGCAGAGAGACAAGTGCCTCTGTCCCCAGCATGCCCAATAGAAGGAACTGGGAAAGAGGAATCCAATCCCATTGCATTGTCTGGACTCACCAGTGTCCACCTCTTTAACATCTTCCTTTGCTAATGTCCCAGCCAGCCTTAATGGCATAACCTACATTTCCATAATGACTTACAGACCCCTGCACAGGAGGATATGAAGACAGCTTCTTCCAAGAAAATTGGTGCATGTGTCTTTTACCAGTTTAAGAAAAGCCTGAGTGGATGCAGTGGGAGAGCCTAGTTATTGGAGAGCTGGTTCCTCCCTTGAGTATGACAGCATTACCCCTTCTTCCTGCTCATCAGTCCAGAGCAGCATGGCCAGGGGATCCTGCATATACCCCTCCATGTTGGGACATAAAAAATAATAATCCCAAATGACTTTGGGGTCATCTATTCTGTATTTATTGAATTTATTAAATTTCTATTCTGCCCGTGATCCAAATATATCAAAGAGGGAATGGTGCTATAACAGAGCAGGGGTAGCTACCATAGTGGCCACAACACGTTGTGGAATGATGTGAATACTGTGCACGAGGATGCCTCTATCTTTACCATCCTAAAGCATACAAATACTCCTGCCTTTTAATTCTAAATCAGTCAAATTCACAAGGGACATGCCTATTAGACTCAACAGCTATTAGAAACAATAAATTGCATCCAATGTCATACTAAGTAGCTGCCCCATCAATGCAAGGATTTAGGCTTATGCAAGAAGATTCCTCCTACCCTCTCCTTCTCATGTCCATACCCTGCAGCCTCCCCAACCCCAAAGCAAAATTGGGGGAATGGGGGCGGGGCGGAGAGTGCCATTGCACAAGCATAAATCCTTGCAGTAACAGGATGGCTATTTAGAGCTATATTGAATATAGGCCAGTAGGAACAGGAAAAAGCTGCCTTGGACTGAGTCTGACCCATTGGTCCATCTAGTTCTGTATTGTCTGACTGGCAGTGATTGTTTGGGATTTAATGCAATAGACATTCCCAGTCCTACCTGAAGAAGCTGGGGACTGAACCTGGAACCTTTTGCATGCAAAGCAGGTGCTCTACCACTGAGCTATGGCCCTTCCCCAATGGAGTACCTAGATGGAACCGCCATGTTCTAGCAGTATAACACTGAATGCCAGAAGTTGGATACAGTTACAGAGGAGGTTCTCACCTTCATGCCCAGGGGGCATCTGGCTGACCACTGTTGGAGAACAAATGCAGTAATAGACGGACCTTTGGATTGATCCAGCAAGTCAGAACTTAACATTTCATAGAAAGGATTTCCAGCTCAGAGCATATGATTGCTATGCAGTCTTGACCCCCTAATGCCAAGAAACTAGCAACTGCTTTACTTGGCTCAATCACAAAGAAGTGCAACATGGGCAGAAGAAACTTTCCATTAGCAGATTCCACCTGACATCTTTAAAACAAATTTTTTAATAAGGAACTAATCCCACTCTGGGCAGGATTGTCATTCTACCTGCTGTGCCAGCTGGAAAAAAAAAAAGCAATGGAGATATATGGGCAAAACCAGAGGCATTGACCCCAGAGAGAGAGGCCTCAATGCCTTCCAGTTAAGATACCATTCCAGTGGTAAAAAAATGCTGGGAAATTTAGAAGGGGGACGGGCAAGGAAGGAGATGATGCTTAAGTGCTGGCAGGCAAAAGTAACACAAAAATGATCAGCCTCCTGGAGGGGAACAGCAGGTTTATGATTAACCAGAACATGGAGCACAGGAGGAAAGCTACATTCACCTAACATAGCTTCCTCCTCCATGACAAGAAAACAGCCCCCTGACACTTTGCCTTATGTATGAACCAAAAGGCGAAAAGAAAGAAAGAAATCCTGAAACATCAGAGAGAGAATGCATTCCACTTAAAGCACTGGCCTTCAGCTGGAGAATGCTCTCCTGTTTTATTTGATTATGATTATTAGAAGCAAGTCAGGGAAATACAAACAAAAGAATACAATTCTAAAGCATCCTCCAATGGCTTTATTCATGTTCTGTTTCATAATCACCGCCGTCCCATGCATTAACATATTTTAAGTAGGTCATTATATCTGCCAGCCAGCTTTTACTGGCATATCTGACATTTTAAAAATATAGTTTATGCTGGTGTTTTTGTTTAGGCTGCTTACTGCTTTGCGATGTTTTGCATGAAAGTGTGACTTATAAATGTTTAAATAAATATTGTTCCCATTTTGCAGGGCAGAGAAGGTGAGGCTGAGAACAGGAGTGGCTTGCTGAAAAAGTGAAATCATGGTAGAAGGAAATTTGAAGCGACTTCCTGATTTGTAGATGATTTTTTTCAGTCCACTAGGCTGTACACATCTGCTGTCATTTTAGATCTGGTGCAGATACCCACCTCACGCTTCCGCAGCTGAGGCCCAGATTAAGATAGGCCCTATCACTGGGCAGAGCGAAGCAGCCACCTCAGGCACCTAACATCTGCTGTCATGAAAGGTCAGAAAATGGTTAATTATTTTATGTATTACTATTCTGCTTTTACTTTCAGTGTGTGTGGGGCGGGTGAGAAATAGCTGAGGGATTTTCAGACTCTGCTGCCAAAATAACATGATTGGCCTTAGGCACTACACACCTTGGCTTGTGGGGAGTGGGGAGGTGGGGCTTAATTTGCCGCTTTGCCTTGGGCAGGAAAAGAAACCCTCACAAGCCAGCTTTGCTCTGCATACTTTGAAGATCCTAGCACAAGAACACCAGTTTTGCCTAAATGAAAAAAGTTATTAATTCCTCTAGAACTTTTGTTTGATTGAAGCTGTCTCCTCAGTCTACTACCCCACCCTACCTAGAAGGAACTCCAAGTAATAGACACACATTCACAATACATTATTATTATTATTATTATTATTATTATTATTATTATTAATTTTTAAAAGCCATCTGAAGGCAGCCCTGTTCAGGGAAGTTTTTAATATTTAACGCTGTATTGTTTTTAATACTTGATTGGGAGCCGCCCAGAGTGGCTGGGGAAACTCAGCCAGATGGGCGGGGTATAAATAATATATTATTATTATTATTATTATTATTATTATTATTATTATTATACATGATAGGCACTCAGTGCTAACAATTGCCAGAAGGCTTAGGATGCTGGTCAGTGATCCAGTTTTGCTGGAGGAAGCCCTTGAGAAGGAAACATGCAAGTCCTCATTCCCTCAGTACTTTTATTTTGGTTCAGGGTTGGCAATTTGGTGGTCAGGTATCCTGTCTCTAGAGCCTAGAGTGGCTCTAGCTGCTCATCCATAACTGAGAGTCCATGTTACAGGTAGGTAGCCGTGTTGATCTGCTGTAGTCTTCAGATACACCCTTGCTTTTTCCTGTAAGACCAATTGCAGTCATTAACAGTCGTCAACAGTCCATGGTCTTCTCGACTGCAATGATGTCATGCTACTCCTTTGACCTGCATCCCAATTAAGACAAAGATGGAGAAGAAGGTGCTTTCCCAGCCATCACCCATAACTTCTTAAGACAGCTTTGAGAACTACCACGTGGCTGCATGATCTGGCAGAGGCTTCTCTCATCATGGCAGCGTTAGCCGTTAAAAGGCTTTTTTCATGTGCTTAGCTATGGAAAATACAAAGGAATGGGAGAAGATATAAAATGAGGAGGCAACAGACTCTCCCTCACTTTGCACCATGAAATAATTTTGACGGCATGTTTAGACATTTTTAAAGCGAGATTTGCTTCCTCGGGGGGGAGAGGCTGCTTTGAGGAAGAAGAAGGAAAATACTGCTGCATATTTAACGTGATCCGCTTTGTTGTGCTACAGAACATTCTTCCCAATTTATGCTGTAGCTACTTTGTGAGATCTTGAGATATTTGTGGCGTAGTTGTTATTCATTTCGGCAGAAGCTAATGGCGGAAGATGCTGTTAAGGTGGGGAAATGGGGCATGCGCTAATGCTGATGCTTCAGTCTATGTTCCTGAAAGCATCCCTGAACACCAGATACATCGTCTTATGCCTTGCTGGCTGCTCTTTGCAACAATAATATTCCTAGAAAAAAGGCCTCCCGCTCTCTCTTGCAGAATTATTTGGACTGTGCGACTATGCAAGCACTTTCCAATAGTCTTATTGCGGGGCGGGGCAGGGTCAAATCAAAACATTCCCTTCATTCTATAAAGCCCTTAATCGTCTGGGACCTGCTAGGAATATAAGAAAATGGCCATATATAGCAGAGACAGAGCACTGGCCCAACCAGCTCAGTATCACCTACAATGACTGGTAGTAGAGTTTCATACAGGGGTCCTTCTCAACCTGCTCAGAGATACCAGAAATTGAATGTGGGGGTTCTGCATGCAGAACACGTGCTCTACCTCTTCTTCTGACTCATTTTCTTAACAGGAACTCACAAGGGAAAGGAGGTGGGATAGCACCATGGACAGCACCCTTGAGCCAAAGTAAACTCATAAGTTTCTTCCTGTGGTCCACTTTGCCAAAGCTCCACACACACACCCTTGACCTAAAGACTGTGGCCCTGGCCTGCAGACAAGGTCTTCTTTGTTTTCTTGTGTCCTCCTGCCTGGCATGCTCCCTGTCTCATTGGAGAGGTGTGATGGCACAAGAAGCACTTGATTCCTCTCATGAGGCAGGCTCAAGTGATGGAATCCAGTGGAGTCCTGACTCAGGCCATTGGCCTCAGGTTCCATGAGCTTTGGGCTCTGTTGGGACTGAAAGCAGCAGCAGGAA